AAAGGGAGGAAAAGATAGAGTGAGATCTTCCTTAAATATTCTCCCGACTTAAGAGGCTAAATGAATGGTTTTAATGGACCTTGAAAGATAAAGTTCCAGACAAGAACTGATCTTGGCTGGCGAAGTAAAGTTACTCCATTATTCAGAGTGTGAACATGACCATGAAGCGGCGGCGAAGAGGTAGTTCAGCCCGAAATTTACTTAAAGTTGCAAAATGTGAGCAAAAGCTTTATGGAAAATAAGAGCGAATGTGACTTACCTCCTTAACTTAATTTTGCAGCATATTGCTGCAGTATAAAGAGACCGAAGCATTGGTTTACTAAATTTGATACTTCAATCAAAAATTAGGCGGTGATCTAATCATATAACCCTAGCGCTGAATGATGAAAGGCCATCATGAGGAGTCAACAAGTAAGAACTGCATAATATCTTATAATTTTTTATTCGCTGAAAATATATTTAGCGAAAATTGTATTTACCATAAATTTTTGTCATCTTTGATCACTGTACTTTATAATTAGTATACTACAATTACTTCATAAATTTGGATATTTAAGATTATTTTGTCCCTATAATGGGCATATAATCGCCCTGTAATATATCTATTGGAGCTACCATAATATGCCCATATTGCATGGATAATATGTACCTTAAATATCTGGAGTTTTCCTCATCAAATACATTATATATCCATTGACAAAACTATACTCAAGGAGAAACTAGATACGATCGAGTGGAGCTATATTTAGGGGTACAATCACCGGAATGGCCTTTTATTCTCGCAGACCGATCCACTCCAGACAAGTTGCAGTCTAATTCCCAGCAAGGAGAACGGGATCCATTAATTTAGCATTCTTGATTCTAGTTGCACTACTATATACCTATAAGGACAAATTTGTCAAGATTAGTCGGTGCGATTGATCCGACGATTAATTTATCTCCCACCATTATAGAAACAACTGGGAGTCCAGTGATCGTGACGAAATGCTCTTAAAATTCCAAAATTATTTCTGTTCAATAAGCTCATAATGGTTAAATATTTGCTTATGTTTCCTTCATCATTCAATGTAAGAAAAGAATTCCTCTTAACATAATCATTCAGTAGCTAAAGTTTTGCCTCGCTTATCAAGTGATGAAACGTTGAGCTTGTAAATCAACCTCCTGACCTTCATGACCTCAATCCATGCATTCCACCTCCTGATTCTTGCATCCTAAAGTATTGAGAATTTGGGTACGAGTCGATCTCTTTACTGAAAATGAATTCATCAACACCTTTACTTGGGCCGAAATCAAGCAAACAACATATTAAAATATGTAAATCTGCTTCAAAAAGTCTTTAGTATTAGACTTGCCTATTCTATGTTAATTTTGAGTTAATCTATATAGATAGAACTGATTCTGTAGCTGTGTATGTTTACCAGACGAATTTGTCTCCTTTAGATTTACTTCAAACTGAAAACGCTGGTTGAATGCTAAACGGGAATTTTCTTCAATTTATAAGAACCTGTACAGAAGTTATATGAGATTTATCCACCCTATTTTGTTTAAGGTTTAAAGTACTGGTAATAGAATTTTCCCATAATGATATGAGTAGAGCTGACGTTTTCATTTAATTTTGCATAGCCTTGCTTTCCCAAAAGTTGTTACTGGTAGTCTCAAAACTCTTCTTATATACGAAAAATGGTATAGAAGTTGTTTGACCTTGTTTTCGCAGCTTGATTATATTGGCAGAAAGACCTAGAGGAGGGCCCATGTCCGGAGTCTATAGAACGTATGATAATTTACATAGTTAGAGGGTTTACTTGGTATGGCAGACGTTCCTCCGGCATCGTCAGTGAGCCTTGCCATTCTTAGCACCACACTATAACTGGTCAAAGCGACAAGTGAGTCGATTCTTTGACCAATTATCTGCTAAGCAGTTGTGGTATCTCTCTTTCCGTCCTGGACTATTCACCTATCCTATATCTTCGTATCACTCCTTTAATATCACAATTTCTTATTTGCTTATTTAAACATATTTGAAACATATTCACACTCTCCGCTGGTTTCCAAATCCTTCCCACTGTGTCGGTTATGTTGATCCGCAGCAGCTGTCTAATCCGCAATTCTCTCCGTTCGGGTCCTATTAGAGTCCCCTCTTGCTCCGAATGATTCTCCCTTATCTGCCTGTTTCAGAGATTTAACTCTATTGTTGCCACCGTTTCACCAAAATGGCTCACATGATGTACTATCACAGTTAGACTCCCGCTAAGACTTAAGAGAGGTCGAAACTGCAGACCATCCTGAATAAGAATAACTTTAGGAAAAGCAAGGCTATGTAAAATTCAATGGAAACGTCAGCTCTGCTCAGATCCTTGTGGGAAAATACTACAACCAGTCCTTCATCACAGTAAACTAAATAGGGTGAATACATCTCATGTTATGTTCTACACTCTGCCTAAGGCCTTTGATAACACGTAAACATTAGCCTGACTGAGCAAGCCCCTAAAGTCGGGATTCTAAATTGGCTTGGTAACATAACTTGACACTGCAGATTCTCTTATCATTGTGCCGCATTTGATGCTATAGACCCTCTAGCAATGTAGTTTATCAACCTTCTCGTGTTCCGTAGGCAGGCTTGTGAAGAGTGTTTGCATTCTTTTTTCATTACCTTGATATTTCATTCTCTTACCAACGGTAGAAATTTCTGGCTCAGTTCACAGGGAGGCAGATATATCTACTTTAGATCGTCCTCCCGATTTATGAACTTTTTTTCATAAAATCCTTGTTGAAATCTGTTTTATGACTTCTATATTTCTTTATATAAATTCTCTCGGGTACCCATTACTAAGGCAAATTGAGTTCGTTTCTCCAACTACCCGTTCCAAAATTCAGTGTCCATTATTCTTAAACTTATGATGATCATACTCCTCATTTTCACATCCTTAGTCTATAGTTTAAATGAAACTGAAAAATGAAGATTATTCCCGTATGTGATTTCATTCTAAATAGTCTCTTTTTGAGTATTCTGTTGGAACGAATGACTTCAACATCCAGCAAGGATAGTCGTTTATCATCCTCTACCTCCATTTTGAATTTAATTTTTCAATCAAGTAGGTTTATAAAATTAAGAAACTCATCTTAATGTTTCTTACCATGAGAACAAAGCGCAAGGTAGTTATCAAGATATCGCATAAGCACTCTTGGTTGCAGCGATGACTACTCGAATTCCTTCTCCAATCCGTCCATTGGTACATTTTCCAAGAGAGTTGAGATTGAAGATCCCATCGGTAGTCCAAATATTTGCTCATTAATATTGCCGTTGAATGTAAAATATGTGGGGCTTACCATCATGTTTATTATTCGTGCTAACGACTCCTTCCATATTCGCTCTGCCTCCAAGATATTCTCCTCTCGTTTCAAGACCTCCAGCAGGTTAGTAACTGCCTTCTCACCTTAGCTGTTTCTTTATATGGATTGTACGTCAAAAGCCACCAACGTTTCTGTCCCTGTCAGTCTAATATTTTATATCCTTCGATAAAATTCAGATGAGTTCTTCATGGAGTTCAAGAGTCTATCATTTAATTTCTTGAGCTTCAAGCATATAGATCTCGCTAGTTTGTAAGTTGTTACATGCTTGAGGCGATGAGCATATAGGATAGATGAATATCCCAGGACCGGAGGAGAGATACCACAACTCTTTAATACAGATTTAGTCAAAGGATCGACTTCACTTGTCTCCATAATGAGTTGTAGTGTGGTGCTAAGAGTGACAAGGTTCACTACGATGCCGAATACGATGCCGGCGAAACTTATGGGAAATGTACCAAGAACTAGGTCCGAATCTGGAAATTATCAAAAATACTATGGACTTCGGATAATGTGCGTTCCTCTAGATCTTCCTGCCAATATGACCAAGTTGCAAAAACAAGGTCAAACAAGGCCTATACAACGAAAAAAGACCGCGACCATACAAAAGGCCATACTATCCTGGTCTTTATACTTTCGATTAAAAGAACTTGGTTTTAAGTACAATCCCAGACCGCAGGCTAGA